CTACATAAACTCACTTGATTAAACATTCTCAAATCAGGGTATAACAAGAGACTCATTCCCCTTCCTTCCCCCCAACATAATGTTCCCTGGTGTTCTGGCATGGAAATGAATCTCTTAATAGAATTTAAATAGACCTCATAGGGCTCTGGGTTGCGCGGCACAGAAAGGAGCAGCAGGATGGAGGTGGTGGCCTCAAATTCTCTGGGTTCTGTATCTGGCCAAACTCTGCATCTGGCGTTTCCCAGGAAATCTGGTGCCAATGTCACACAATGCCACATCTGCTTTCAACAAATGTTTAAGCACCGAGTTCTTAAATTCCTGGCACGGAAACCTGGCATCAAGTATTTCCCAAAATAGATGTGAGATTTCAGCAGATTTGGGGTTAACAAACCTTATCTTAATTTTTCTGTTTGGTATCAAATTTCTGTTTTGTTCTCTCACTATGTAGTTTTAAAATAGAGTTTCAGCTCAGTTCTGTTGCTAACAACTCTCATAAATAACCCATTTCAGTATCTTGGTAAATATTTACCGTTAAGTCTATGAGTGTTTACTACGGAATTGTTGGTATGAATACTTTCAGTTGTTATAAATAAAATGGAAATATTTTTATTGAAGACAAGTTCTGTATTTAGAACTCTGAAACGAAATAATTGGATGCATCAGATCTTTATATTGTTTACTTTTTGAAATTATACCACATATAGTAGACATGACTTTATTTCCATAAGTATGGAAGTTAGGGTCTAGATAAATTAAATAACTTGTCAGTGATCATACAGGTGGTACCTGGTCAAGAGTCTTCTCTGGTGCTGACCCCAGTGCTCACTTGGTCATTGAATCACCTGGCTTGTGGTGTCCAGATCTGCTATGCCAAGCATGGCCATAGTTATGTGAGTACTAGTGGGAGGATTCTTGCTTTTTGAGAGCCTCCATTCTACCACAGCAGATTGCATGCCCAATATTGCTTACTGCAGAATGTGCATTCAGCTTTTTACTTTCTATAATAATGCAATTCTACCCACTAATTTTGTGTTTCTATTTTTTCAACCCAGTTTATTATAACATTTTAAAAGTTGAAACTCTGGCTTCTCCCTGGCTCTCACCTCTTTTTCATAATGAGAATAAAGCTCACAGTCAGATTGTGGTCAATGGGTAATTTATTTTTAATTTTCTTGGACATTTAACATTCACATTTTATTCCATTAAAAATATCCCAGCTAGTTAATTTTTGAACACGTATTTTTTTGAAATTAATTTTTAAATAGGTGATATGTTCAGTTGATTTCAAATTCTAAAGGTACAAAAGAGCAATAATAATAATGACAATGGTTAACTTGTCCTATATAGCATATACTGTGCGGCAGGCATTCTTTTCAGCATTTTGACTGTATTAACTTAACCCTCACTAAAGCAATGCTGTTAACACTCCGCTGTGAATGAGTGAACTGAAGCCGGGAAAGTATGCCCAAATATCAGGCTGAACTGGGTTTTGTCTTTTCACCAGTCAAGTGACCCAACCTTTGGGAAGCCTTTTATGAGTACAACTCTCTTTTTGGGACTGAAGTCAGTGCTTACCCTACAGCCAGACATTTTTCTTTCCTTATACTTATTACAACTTTCTCTCATTCTCATTCCACCAATGAGCTTCCCCAAGGCAGGTACCGTATCTTATGCTCTTGTGCAGACCCAGGACAACACAATTTCTGGCAATACAAGGTACTTAATAAATACTGCTTTGCCAAGAGTAAGTTTTCTCATTTAAAGATGGCTGTATGTGCTCTTCCTACTTCACAGAATTATGTAGAATGGGAGATCATAGCTGTTTATAAACTTCAGAACACTACACTGATGTTAACCCAGTTATGGAATACACTGTATAAGTTGAATGAAGTTGATGCTTTTAAAGGTTCTGGACATTAGAACAGGTGTTGGCACCTAGGACAAATAGGATCTTATCAGTGCAGTACGACATTATGTCCCAGCCTGGGTACTTAAAGCTATAATAGTCAGAATGGTTTTTGCATATTCTGATTGCATTTTTATTCTCAAAAAGGCAGAGAGAAGTGTTTACACCCTGCTATTGAAATATTGCATAATCATACTGTCTGACTTCTACAACCAGTTCTGCTCTTTAAATCAATGTTTCTTACTATTGGCAACATATGCAAATCATATGGGCTGGAGTTTTATTTTTGTAGATTAAGGATCCTTTGGTTCTGTCCGCAGATTCATGGAGTGATAGTCCCAGGGAACAAAGGAGATATTGCCACATGTAATTGTGAAGAGCATCTGGGAATGGGAAATATTCTAAATATGTTCTAAATACTGTCTGAAAAAAGTGGCTTAATGTCATCTAGAATATTTTTCATAGAAAACCCAGTTGTTTCATATTTAATAGCTCTCAAGAGCACTGACATTTACTCTGTTTCTCTGCTGTGTATTTTACAATTGATTTGTGCTGGTGAGTTTGGTGGATGCTCTAATTACTCAAAACCATATGGCCATGGCCAGCAACTGACAAATGGCAAATACAGTTTTCCAGAGTAAAAAAAAAAGAAATCATCTTTGCCTTGAGTGGGAGAAAATTGGGGCGTTAAGCTGGCCCTCATTTATTTTACAGAAATTACAGATTTGCAGGTAGATATCTAATAACTCGCTTGTGGAGATGAGGGGCCATCTACTCAGGCAGGTACTGTGATGAGGCCCATTAGTTTCCATAAAAGGTTGTCATTCTCACCATCTGGTGCTGTGCTGGTCAGAGTATTATGTGCCTTTGCCTGTAGTAACACACAGGACTTGCAGGACAGGCCTCCATCAGGGTATGGGACCTGGAGTGATCTGATGGCTAGCTCTCATCAACAGCCTGATTAAGGAGAATTATTTGAAGCATGTACAGTCCAAGCTTTTTATTCTAGAGTTTATCCCTGTATCAAGGTGAACCATCAGAAAGCTGTTTTTGAAGTATTAGATTTTGCTACTCTATCCTTATTTCCTCACTTAGGAAAGAGTGCTTGAGTTCCCAGTCATATGCCCTGGAAGTTTATCCAGCCATTGCATTATTTAGCCGTAGTATTGGTATAGATAATTGGGAATTTTTAAAGTAAGTGCAATCTGGTACCAATATGTGGAAAATTATTAAAATGTTACAGATTGGAAAAGCTTGATTTTTTTCCTTCTTTCCATATAGGTAATGTTAAGTACTATCTGTCATTAAATGGGCTTACTGCACAAAGTGGAAATATATCACTCCCATTCTAATTATTTTACAAGAGTCAGCATTTCTCTATATTGTTTCTTTTACATAATTAATTCTCAACTTTTGGCTTGTTTCTCCTAAAAAAAAAAAAGTTATTTTTTTCTTTCATCAGAAAGAAAAAATCAATTGATGATTTCTTTCCTAAATGAGCCATTTTCTTATTCTAACTAAAAACTTCTTTATACATTAACAAAAAAGAGAAGCTTTTCCACGATTTTTGGCAAGAAAATCTGGATACCTTAGAAATGGGGATAAATTTGTTATTTATTTTTAAACTTATTTTATCAGTCAGGAATGCATTAGTATTAAAAACCACAAACCTGAAGGAGAGCTTAAATATTAGATAGGCATTGGTTTTAACAGACCCTTGGGTGTAGGCAGAGAGTTGATGCAAGCAGGGAGCAGAGTTTTTCCTATATAGTTTTCCCTCACTTTGGCATCCTTAGAGTATAAGAATTTGTCTTCAGGCTCGTCTTCTCAAGGATTCTAAAAGTTCTATAAAACGTCCTCTGTATTTGGAGGTGTCATTTTCCAAGAAGATGGAGAGGCTGGGATAAAAGGCTTTGTTCTTCTAAGGCTTTCTGCCTTTCCCTCTCTTTCCTGGGAATTATTTATATGTTATTGACCAAAACTACCGTATATGGTCACTCCCAGGTGTGGGAGACAGGAAATAGTACTTTTACTGTTAGCTTGTATAGCAGAAGAGACAAAGAGAAGCAGCCTGTGGATTCGTTCTTTCTGTCTCTGCCAAGTATTCTGATTGAAAATAGACCAGTATTTTTGTATTTTGCTTTAAATATAGGTGCATTTTCCTACTCATAATTTAAGAATTAGTACATTTAATCAAAATCTGTTCACACAGGTAATTCTTTTTTTGAGGTATAAATTATATTTTATGAAGTATTGTGGTTTTTTAATTGATATGTCAGATTCCCCAACCCACATGAGTAGAGGACATATTGCAAACTTTAATGCCTTCAGACTGCAAGCTATCCGCTTCGCCTTTTGAACAATTGCTAATCTTCATGAGACAAGCTGAACATGGTGACTACAGATGTTGAACAAATGGCAGTTTTATGCCAAAGTAGCGCGTTAGAGGAGCTTTTAGAGAATTTGAATGAAGGAAAAGGAAAGCAGTAGAGTATTGTAAATGAGATAAAATTGTATACTTCATAAAACAGGCAATGCTTTTGTTTGAGAATAACTGAAGAGACAAATAACGTGACACGGCAGAGGTGATCCGGTTTAGCGACAGAGCCACAGACAGCCCGGGCATCTGTTCCTTTCTGCTGTGTCCAGCCAGCTGCACTTGCTGCATCACTTAAATCTCTTTGAGTCTCAGTTTCCCCGTCTTTTTATATACATAGTGATTACACTAATCTCATAGAATCATTTAGCTCCCCCACCTAGAAAACTCCTCGGACAAGGTGGGGTCTCGTTAACTGTTTCCTTTACTACATGTGTAAAGATGAGGATAGTGCTGACGTTCTGCAAAGAAAAGCCTGTGTACGTCGGTATGGGTGGCCCGGTCAGTTCATCTTCTGTGTGAAGGAAACCCAGACTTTCTCAGTAGTCTCACCGTCAAGATTTAACATGGGACAACATTGTTCTGTACTGAAAGTGACTACCTAAAGTGAGAAAATCATTCT